TTGAGATACATACACACAGCCATACGAACTGTTTGCAATTTTGCTTGTTTCTCAAATAGATTTAACATTAATCTCATCCCACCCTCGTAACCACTTCTAAGGTGGATGATATCACCGTCTTCATGAACAAACGGAAGGCCTCGCGTTCGGCGGGAGCGTGGGGCCAGATCAGGGTCACACAACAAGTTAACAGCAGGCGGGACTGGAATCCTGGCCTTAGGCTGAGGCCTCGGTACCTTCCTGGCTCCGTGGTGCCCACGTCTCCCTCTAGGGTCGCTGGTCCACAGCAAAACCGAACACCAGACATCCTGAGTTACTTCAAAACCGCGTGCGCACCCCTCCTCGCCGGCCTCTGGTTTTAACCCTCAGTTACTGTTCACTCTTCTCTGCACCTGAGGGCTTTGTTCGCTTCCCACAAGCTTATCAAAGGAAGGACAGCAAATTCAGCTCAGGATTAGTCCCCCTTAATGAGATTTCCAGGGCACTTTGAAGAAGGGATCTGACACTATTCACGGAGCTCTGGGTGACGACGCCTAAGGCAAGTTCCGCACACGCGCACTTTGTGATTATTAATGGCTCAGCCCTCCCTGGGGCGGGGGAGGGGCCGGGGACGGCCACCAACCAAAGATTTTGCACTTACCTTTCAGTAAGTCTCCAAAACCTATCTTCTTTCAATATTGTTGTTTCTGAGAAGTGCTGTCCCGGGACATCTCCCAGTCATTTGAGACCCTCTAAATGCACTGATGTAAGACCTCTCTGCAGCCGTTCTTCTATTCCGGGCATCCTAAATCCGAATTTCTGGAGGGTACTGCAGGCTGCTACACACAGATAACTCTACACTGGGAGAGGGAATACATCGCTCTGGGCTCCAGCTCTTCATGTCTTGGCGCTGGGGTTGGCTCGCCTCTGGTACACACGCTGCAGGTGTCTGAAGAAAGGTCAGCTGGAATCCAAAGCTACACTTAACGCCAAAAAAACGTATCCAAGAACCTCTTCTTTCCAAAATCCTCTAGC